TTATCGACCAAACACTCCACAAGTTACCAACAGAGTAATCTGCATTACCGGCCGAGCACTCTGCATTACCTATAGAGCGATCTGTATTGCCGATAAAGCAACCTACATTACCGACGGAGCAATCTGCGTTATCGGCTGTTAACCTATCAGACCTAACTCAGACCAACCAAAGCATCTGGCGATTTTTTTACAAAAATTGTGTCGGTAAATGTCGATACTGCGGATTGCAATGTCGGTAATGTGGAGTGCTCGGTCGATAATGCAGATCACTCTGTCGATAATGTGGAGTGCTCGGTCGATAATGCAGATTGCTCCGTCGGTAATGTGGAGTGCTCGATCGATAACCCACAATGCTCCGTCGGTAATGTAGAGTGCTCGGTCGATAACGCACATTGCTCCGTCGGTAATGTAGGTTACTATGTCGGTAATACAGATCGATCTGTCGGTAATGCGGAGTACTCTGCCGCGCATGCCGAGTGCTCCGTCGGTAAATGCAGAACGCTCTGTCGGTAATGTAGAGTGCTCGGCCGATAATGCAGATCGCTCTGTCGGTAATGCAGAGTGCTCTGCCGAGAATACAGATTCATATATAATAACTAGAAATTATTTCATGCTTTTCATTGTACTTTCCCATACATTTAAACAATTATATCTAGAGCTAGTACGTATTCATATAAATTAACTGGAAATTATTTCATACTTTTCACTGTACCTTTTTTGAAGTTGATTAAATTTTTTTTCAAAAAATTATTTTATGTCTTCTACTATGTGTGAGAACATTGACGTTCCACAATTACTACGTTGTCTCAAAAGTTTCTTTTGTTTTATTAATACTTAATTCATACACAATATTTTATGTTTTATGTTACATTACAAAATTGTGTACAATTCGTTTCGCTCCATTACTGTTACAGCATCAATGTCTAAGAAATTAGATTGTCTATTTATATAAACACTGCCACAAAAAATAATTGAATGCAACTCACGAAAGAAACTTTTAGGACAACCTAATATTTGCAACGTAAAATAAAGATTCTTAAAAAAAGTCTTTTTCTTTTTCACGTGTACGACAGTAGGCTTTTAAACCATTTTCGTGTCATTACTGATATTCGTTTTACTCCTGATTGTATCAAAGAAAAAAAGTATAATTTTTTGCAAGTTAAGAGCTTACAATAAAAGAATAAAATTGTACAACATCGATATAATTTAAAGATATCACTTTATCCCATATCAGTTGAAATTATGAAAGTCAACGATAGCGAATGCAATCATTTTGTAACCTTCTCCATTATTCTATTGAAATCTGTCAGTGCTCGACAAGCTAGATATTTAATCATTACTTTGATTAATGGACGCCGATACCTCGATTTATCTGTATTAACGTTAGATCCAGATATAGTTAACGCGTACATACCACGTAAACGAGATATAATAGCGTTTTTTCGCGATAATTGAACTCGAATCGTTCGAAAAAAGATCATACTCCATATTACCTGTCACAGTAACACACCATAAAATCAATAGGTTACATAGAATTCAAACCTTAAAATAGAAGAAAAATAATAGTAACAATTCGCAGGATAATCACAATTACAAATCAGCATCGACGATGAAGTGCCCTGGTTACTAGAATGAGTAAATTGTTGCAAGAAAATGCAGGCAGGACTCGAAAAAGAAGAAAATGTTGAGATACATTGCATCCTCCGTGATCAGAGGTTAACGAAGAATCAACTCGAGCAAGTAATTGATCTTAAACGAATCCTTTTTATATAAAATTCAATATCAACTGCGATGATTCGTTTATCGATCGATACAGATAAAAATTCGATATCAAGTAACAAAAAATGAAAAAAAAATGTAAGGACTCGATATGCCCAGCAAATATACATTCAAGGTGTGTGACAAACATTAAGAAATTATTAGGTTGTCCGGAAAGTTTGTACCAATTTCTAAGAAAAATTCAAAAACACGTTTGAATTTTAATATGTATTTATTGAATTACATAGGTGACATTTTGTTCCACAACCTTTCCACCTTTTAAGGGATGTATACATGTTATTTGTTTTCAACCACTTCGATATATTCAGACCTGTACCACCTGCCAAAAATCGTCATGGACTTTCCGGACAATCCAATACTTTATAAATATCTCGATCTCGAAATGAAATTGCTGTTTCGTTATACGTATGCAGCGAAAGCAAACCACCTAAAACTAAAACGAAGAAACCAAAAAAGAAACCATCTCGAAAACACGTGGCCACTACTTCGAAGACGTTGTCGAAACCTGAAAGGAAGAGATCCAAATCAAAGTATTGCTCTGAAAAGTCGAAGACGGAAGTTCGCGTAAAGGCTTGCAGAAAGTATCAACTATTTATGCCATATAGCTAATATTTATTATTAAAGTGGAACCTCTGTTAATCGAACAGGACACCTTCCTTTAAAGAACTCCTTTTATTTTTGATCTTGCTTCCTTAAATATTATAAATCTAGATATATCTGGGTCAATCTGATTCTATTTTAAATAAACATTAAATAGTATTAAATAGTACTGAGTAATAAAAGTATTCATCTTCTGCTACAAGAAAGAAAAATGACTGGAGGTGTTTATGCAAATTCATATTTCTATAGACGTGGACAAAGAAATGAAATGAACGTATCTCTTATCTTCTAAACAGTGTAACATATATGTTATTGTTGATATTTCATATCAACATGATTGTTATCGTTGAACTTGTACACACCTTCATACATTTGTTCATATTTCCAGTTGCAATAGATGTTTAAACTTCCACAGTCCAGAAATAAATAATGCAATAAGCTTCTATAAATACTACAAGTCTAGTTATATATAGACCAATCTGATTCTATCGTAGCTTTAATCTGATAAAGTTGAAGTTCATAGCAAAGTCTCGAACGACCTCAAAAGTCAATGTCAGCAAAACATCCAGTATCTTCGAGCCCATCATCTTAGAGGTTCCGCCATATTTGTCTTCTGCTAAAAGAAAGACAAAAGGAAACTTAATAACGCGATAGTATGATCCGTGTTTGAAGGTCTCGATGTTATTTCCAGCAAAAGATGTCAAGCTTCGAAGTTAACGGTGGAGTCGTCGACGTCTACGAGCCGTCCTCAGAGGATCTGGTGAGAGGGTGATAAATGAATTACAGTCGTTGTTGACTCCAGTCGCGCGTCTAGTTAGAAATATCATCACCGAAAGGAACAGATCCTTCTCAACCTTGCATTCTCGAAGATTCTCATTCCCATGCCATTTCAGTGAATCAGCGGGCTACCGATAGTAAACTCGGAAATATTGCCTGACGCATTACCTAACGCGATAAACATGCACAAACGACGATACGCGGTATGCGCGCGCGTATAGTATCGCTCATAATTATTCGAATAACTCCGCGTATCGGGAAAAGCGAAGATTACGGTTATACGTTTTCGAAATTGTGTAGTAAAGATTGTACGAAACGAGGCAGTCGAAGCTGTACGCTAGAATGTCTCTGTTGCACGTGAGGAATGCCTCTGTTGGAAACGAGAATCGAATGGCCGGATTCAAAAAGGATCGAATGATAGTGGAGGCATCATTTTCCTTTAGGTCATTTCCGAGTTTGCGAGGCCAGGGGTGGATTTTTAATTTAAGTAATTTGGAAGTTACACTAATTCTCACATTTTCTTCTGATGCTTGCGCTCAAATTTATTCAAATTTATTTATAATTCGTTGACAATAAGGTAATTTAAAGAGTGGAAAAATCTCTTGTTAAAAGGGTTCTCCGAAAGAAGTTTTAAGATCTCGTTTGAAAATTGTTGAAGAGCACGGATGATTACGATTAAACGTGGAAGATGATATCGTTCACGTGTCCATCTATACTTATATCCATCATTTGTTATTAAAACATAAAATCCTTGTATAAATTTGTGAGTGATAACAGTAACATAAACAAGTTAAGATACATTAGTATTTTTTTTCTTTTAAGTCGTGTGCCTCATAGAGTTAACAATCTACTTGTAGTGGATAGTGTGTAAATGTCGCTAAAATCTATTGCGTAAGTGTCGCGTGATTATCCTCACCACCTCTTGGAACTTGGATATCGTAGCTATCAATAATAAATCTGATCACAAGCTTCAGAACAACTAATTGTAAGAATTTCTATAATTCTCAAATTGGCCAAGTCAAAGCCACCTGAAGGAAAAATTTTGAGTAAAATATTAAATCTAAGAAAAATGATGGACCGATCGTAAAGCTAAAAGACTAAATAGTTTTTGACAAACTGCAATAAGTTCTTAATCCTGTCATCACAGTGTGAGAAGCAAGAGTTCTGTGAAATCGAGTAAATCTTCACGGTCCGACAAAAGGACTATTTGCCATTGCGACGAATCCCGCGAATCTCGAAGTTCGGCTAAAGCGAAAAAGCAAAGGAGATCTCGCTCGAGGTGTAAAAAGTCCGCGAGAAGAGATAGCGAAAGGAAAAAGAAGCTTTTAGCGCCACTTTGCATATGCGTCAGAGGAACTCGATCCATTTCACCGCGTTCGAGCTGTGAATGTCCTTCGAAGTGCAGATTTCTTTCGAAATACGACGATTGCTGCTGCTTGAAAAATAAGGTAGTTATATTAGAAAATGAGTGGCACGAAAAATACACAAATTTTTATTTTTATTAATAGAGACTCTTTGTTTACCATTCGAAAGTTCTTTAAAAATGGCACAGTTCTAATAATTAGCCTCGTACATCGTTTTAATAAATATAATTGTCCCCTATTTCATTAACAATTTACAAATTACAATACAAATTTGATAAAACCATCTAATCAAATGAAAATGTTATTTCAGAGAAAGCAGAGGGAAAACAATGAAACGGGGAACAATAGAAGAAATTCCAACGATTCAGGACATCGAATTTCCAGGGAAATAAACTCTCCCAACAAATGTCCTTGCACCCCGACGCCAAAGTTAGAATTATTTCAATAGTAAATACTCTATTCGTAACTAAAAAAAAATAATAAATAATTTACTCATGATCAACTCGTAGGCCACGTCGGAATATATTTGTCAGAGGATTCTCCAATCTGCGTAAAAAAATGCGGAAATCAAATTCTTCCCGATGCGAATAGTCAGTATCTAACAATCTCGATTGAAAATATATTCCTGGGAAAGTTCCTGAAACGATTTTATTTTAGTTCTGTATGTAATAATCCGCGCGAATGCAGAAAGTGTCCTGTTAAAACATGTTGCGCTAAAAATACTTCGAAGGAACGAAATCGCAGTACGCCTGTAAATATACATAAAATAGATAAACAACACTATAACAATATCCATACAGTGAACTTGAGAATACTCTGAAAGTTCCTATATTTCAGGAGAGGAGGAAAGTGAAGTTTTCAAAGTAAAGGATAACAATGGATCAGCATTTCTAGTAAGTATTTCGTTTGTATTTGTTTACAAAAACAATTATAATTGTTCGCGGGGATATCCTCGATTTGCGAATTAACGGCACGTGTACTTAATTATTAAGTAAAATGAACGTAAATCCTAGATCGATACTACACGAGGATGTTGAGCAGTATCCGATGCAAGAGGTTGTTTTTTTTTTTCTTTAAAGAACATTTAACGATGTAAAGATCTGCTTTGCGGTAGAAAAAAAAGTACATCACCAAGCGAAGAACGCAACATAAACGACAATAATAGTAAACATTCTATACGATTTTCCTTTTGGCCACATATCCGTAGACCTCGTCATAGTTTCTAAAATTCTACGAATCCCAGATACAATTCATAAAGATGAACATGAAATAATGTTATACGTGATCGTTCATTTCTTATTCGAGTAAATGGTTCACAAGCGTAAAGCTTCAATGGGTATTCGTGAGATATATATTCTACAAATTGTAACCTGAGCTGAGATTTCAAGATTTCCGACGTACTTATCGATTAAACTATGTCATGCTGTAATTTCCAAGTAAACGTAATTAGCAGACACTGGTATTGCTGAGAAAATATAAAAGGATCGCTGTTAGTTTTTCATTTGTAAGAACAGTCTGTGCCTTTGCTCCATGTATCATGTTTGTAAATACAACATGTCTAGCACGACTCGCCTAAGGCAGTGATCGTAAATGAAACTACCGTCATGATTATTTCTAAGGCATGTACTCGCATTTATTCATTCATCATTCAAACGGACTCTTATTAAATACGTACACTATTTATACTGTGTCAATCATCCTTTCCTCACTGAAACGGAATAAAAAAACGTTTCTGGTGCTTGTGTTACGAGAATATATTGTTTCCGAAGCGTCAAGCTTCAAACGTCCAGCTTCGATGCGAAGTTCTGCGATATAATGGAACGAGGCAAAGCTCGGAGATGGTAAAGTAAAACTATTACATAACATATTGTATTATTCTCAATGCATTGGAATGATCAGTCTCTTCTCACAGAGTTGGCTCTCAACCGCTACCTTAATAAATCCAGTCGGTCGTCAAGCCAAGCGAGGCAACCGCGTTTTTTATACAATTTACGAGATATCAATGAGTTCGAAGAATTAAATATATGCTGTAAGCGCCAGGAACCAGCCAGTCTAATCGGGTATTTCTTTTAATATCGTCTCTCGCTATTAAGGAAGAGATATGTGTTATTGTTAAGACATAAATTCACCGACTACTGCGTCTGTTAGCGTTACGTAATTGTTTTTCAATTTCGAATTGGCGTAAATCTGCCCTCTGCAGAAAATCTTGGCGTTCTAAATACCCATCCTTGCCTTTGTTATGAGTCGTTATCTCTTCCTCCAAATTCTCTTCCTTCTTATAACTATCCCAATCCAATTTGGATTTTTCCAACGTACTAATTTTCGCCTTTTTCCCTATTTGACCGAGAACGGAAGAAATACCTCCTAAACCAGCCCTTTTGAAACCTTTTCCTCTTCCAGAGCCTCTCCCAGCGGAAGACGCGGAATTTCCAGTTTTCTCGGAGTTTTCAGCGGAAGAAAGAGATAATCTAGCTTCCGCCGAGTCTACCGACACTTCCTTCTCGACTTTCACTTCTTCGCCAGCAAACTCGAATATTTTAGTTATTTTTATTTTCTCCTCTACTTTTGGCTTTTCTAAAGGCGGTGACTTCTCTTTCGGTTTATTTGTTGAATTTTGGGGCTTTGGTTTAGATACAATTGCTTCAAGAAATAAAAATATAAGTTCACGAAAAGTGACGATCACAAAACAGTGATCAGTCTTAACTTACCTGTATCTTTCATGAAATCAGCCCAAAGGGAATCAGCTTTTTTCTTTTGTTCTTCCTCGGTTAGATTGTTTTTCTCCTTAGGCTTCTCAGCTTCTTCCTCCTTCTCATCGCTTTCATTTCTCAAATTTTTTCCTGGTCTTCTGTGTTTCTTAACTTTAGATTTCGTAACTTTGCCTCTCTTCTTCCCTCTTTTCTTTGTGGTTTCTCTTTTATTTTCATCGTTTTCATCTTCGGGGCCGCTTTCTGCATCACCCTCGGATTCTACTTCAGACACAGGTTCGCTATCTGCACCATCAGGAACATAATCTTCATCGTCTTCGTCAGAATCAGAAGGCAACTGGTGTTCCTCAGTCATATTCAGTTAAAACCCAGCTGGTTAAGTTCCTATAACAAAATAACAATAGCACATTATAAGTAAACTGATCAACAAAATATGATGTACTTTTGGCATGCTACATTTATAAAGACCTTGCGTATATATAGGTGACATATATGAGTCATTTAACCTATACATAAGTAGTGTTTGTGCATGTCCAAGAATCATATGGGACATCTGGACATGCGCCATCAGCAGTTTCATTACTTCAAACATTATATGTTTCGCAATACATTTCACTATTACGATTTTAATTGACATGTTTAAGATTATTTAAAGTTTTATTTTTATGATATTATTGTTTATATTTTTAGTTACTATTAATCCACAATGAATCACATTATTCTTTGTAAGTATATAATAAATAGTTTATTAAACTCTTTCACAAGAAATGATAATAATTCCTTGCTTCAAAATGTATGAATGTTAATCTTGCCTCTTCAACACTAACACAGTATAAATACTTTTGATGCAACTCAAAATAGAAAATTTGTATTACAATACATCCAGACTATATTATAGCTTAGAAACATTTACAGTTCTTATAAAATGAAAGAAGCTCATCTGGTGCAAACAATTACAAAAATATCAGATTATTGCTCCAATTTACAATAGAGTAAATAGACATACTTTGACCTAACAGTTTCCAAGTTAAATTCTTACTATATTCATCACTCAAAACAAACATTATAATACAAGTAGGATGTAAATAGTAAACATCATTAAAAATTTAAAACTTTATCGTGTTTGGTATACAAATGTACAACCTAACCTCTCAAACGTACAACGGTGACGAGTAGCCTCAAATCAATAATTTAGAATTATTTGTTATTGCTATGTTGATACTCACGTATTTCTCAAGAAAACAGCCTTTCGTATGTACAAAAAATTTGGTTTCACAACGAACCACCTTCCGGAACTTTCGTCAGATTGTTAGAAATACTTTCCAAGAGTCGTCGTTGGTCACCTACTCGTCGTGCACTGACAATCTTTGGGCGATTATCGTTACTGTTTTGTAAATATTTAAAAAAAAAAAAACTGTTACACGCGAAAAACTAATGACCGAAATATACGAATCGCTTCACGATTCGCGAATGCATTCGACGTGCAATGTCGGCCATTTTCAGCTGCGACTAAAGCTCCACTCGAGGGCAAATGATAAACTATGTATAAGATGAATCTTACAAGATTGCAACAAATATTTTAATTTAGTATAAAATGTATTGCGATGAAATTGAGTTTAACAATAAAATTAGCGATCATGTGAAATAAACAGCGTGTATTGATCATTGTCAGCAGTTACGTACTATAGTTGGAAAAGTACAGTGTCGACATCTGTGGATGATAATGCACTCGATTATAGTTTGATGATAAAAAAAATCACTACTACTTCACAAAGTTTGTTACTTTTACAATGTAATATTATAAAAAATCTTCCTTGCTAGTAAACAGAAATTCTTAAATTTTGTAGTTAATCAACAAGATAAAAATTTATGATTAACTGTATGTTGATTGAAGTACCTATACTAACAATATTTATTAAACTATGTATTGTTTTTTATTATTGTACCATAATGAATCTATTATTCTTTTTTTTATAGATATAGTAGTTTAATACAATTGATTTATCGATGTTACCGATGCATTGGATAGTTTAAATTTATATTTAATAGTGGTTTGTAGTTAAATTTTGCATTTATATCAATTTAAATCTTTAAAGCCTCTTAAAGATCAATTAAAACTTATCAACTATAGAAAATTGTCTGAAATATTTCTGTTTTATGTAAAAAAAAATATAAAAGAATGTTCATATATAAATCGTAATAATCGTAATAATAATATAAATCGAATTATTTGTGTAAAGTTCAATTTTACACCAGATTATATTTTTCGAAAACTTTTACTCTATGCAGATACCCATGAATGGGTACCCCGAGAAGGGTGCGCGGTCAATTATATGGAAAGGTGTCGAATTGCGTTGAAACTTTCACGAATTTGTCGAGCAATAAGTCAGCTCTTTCTCCAGGATGTTAAGTAGGATTAGCAGGGTCACCGCAAACCTCATATTACAGGATCCATTTCGAATCCTCCTTTCAACGAAATGGATGGCAGCCCGTTCACGAGGATTTTTACCGGATTAATAGATCAAACGCTCGTTTCCTTCCACGTAAACGTCCGAATGACGAAAACAGAAGAGAGGAGAAGTCAGAAGCAATTAGTAGAAGCAATCTCGGGTGAACACAGAAAATAACACAGGTGAATTAATACCTATATTATTGCCTTTGTTTAAAATAATAAAAATTTGTTCTATAGAATGTCTTGAAAATTTTCGTTCGAGCTTTCTTGGATTATAAATCAACATTTTAGCAATTATTCCAGGTGATAGCTTATCTTAAAAATAACGAAATAATTACACTTGCAATTACGTATCTATTATACAATGAAATCATAGAAAAATTTCCAAAACAGGTTTTTGAATTTTTGGTTTTAATAAAATAAGAATAGTATGGAATATATCCAATATTTTTTACTTTAAATAAAACTACACATGATTGTAATTGAACAACATCCTAAAACCTGTTTTAAAAAACCCTTTATTAAGAGATACTTATTATACTATTATGTTTTTATAAACGTTTTCCAGTTGAAAAGTTCTAAGATCTTTAGACCCCCTGACAATGAAAGTTCGCCATAGTTAGAGTTAACCCCTAAGAATGGCACTATATCAGTATGTGTCTAATAAACTCAAGATTTGCAGAAAAAAATAGAAGCCTCCGACAATCTTTTCTAAAATCAGTATTTTTGCATAATGCTTAATTGTTTTTGATACATAAATATTAGCTCGACTCCATCGTATCCTACGACGTTCCTTAAAGGGTTAATCATATTAGGAGCATTCTGTGAATGAATCCATTCGAAGGAACGTCGCAGACATCCGGAAGAGAACGAAAGGTCAACTCGATACGAAAAAAGCAGTAATCGTGGCCCGTCTGTTTGAAAGAAAGACAGAAGAGGGAAGGATGGACCAGGTGGCTGCAGATGACGCAGAACCAAGACGATTGGCCGAGAACCCGCAGGAAAAGTCTAAGAGGAGGACACGACCGCGCCAAACGAAGATACTTTTGGTGTTCGGAAAGCTCCGCCCGATTTCCAGGGCGTCTCAAATCTCCCTCTTCTCAGACCAATGTTCTTTTCCTCTCTTCCCTCGTCCCGTACCATCGTGCAGCTTCCTTCTCTTCGTCCTACTCTTCTTCGTCGAGAGTTTTGACGTACAATTAGTTTCGCGCGAGCCTCGCGACCTATCGTGACATTCCAACAATCGAGGAACCAAGCTGGTGGGAAAAAAAGGAACGAGGTGAGGACTTCCACCTTCAACCCTCGCGACGTTGAGTGCTTCACTGTCGATATCTCGTCCAATCGCATGCTGGTTGTGTTGAAAGAATCTGGTTGCTCTCTTGGCTTTTTAAACGAAATCGAGAATTTCACTTCTTTGGAAAGCTTTCCAATGTCAACTCTTTGTGGTACTTGGTAGCTTTGAGACCTTGAGGATATCTCGTCCAGATCGTTGCATACTAAGCTTCAAGTGTTGAAAGAAACTGGTTGCTGTCTAGGATTTTTACAAAATTCGCGTGTTTGATTTCTTTGGAAAGTTTTCCAACTTCAATTCTTTGTGGTATTTGATAGCTTTAAGACCTTGTCCATGTCTCAGTCAATCCATTGCATACTGAGCTTCAAGTGTTGAAAGAAGCTGGTTGCTGTCTCGGATTTTTAAGAAATTCGCGTGTTTGATTTCTTTGGAAAGTTTTCCAACTTCAATTCTTTGTGGTATTTGATAGCTTTGAGACCTTGTCGATGTCTCAGCCAATCCACTGCATACTGAACCTCAAGTGTTGAAAGAAGCTAGTTGCTTTTAAGGATTTGTAAAAAATTCGCATGTTTGACTTCTTTGGAATGTTTTCCAATTCGAACGTGGACTCTTGCAAGGTAGCGCAACTGTTAAGGCTCGAATGACTATCGTTTTGGTGCTCCTGACTTAATCACTATACTACAAACAGTTTAGACTTCGAAATTTCATTGGTGTAGGATCAGTGATAGTATCGAAGTGTAATTGAACACTTGCGACGTTGAGTACTCCTCCTGCTGTTGATATTTCGTCCAATTTATCGCAAGCTAGGTTTAAATGTTCAATTTTCTTTTCGTGAAAAAGCTCGTTGTTCCATCTTCTTCCATGGACTTTTCAAAATTCTGGAGCTTGATCTCTTTGGAAAGTTTGCTACCTTCGACTCTTTGTGACACTTGGTAGCTTTAAGACTCTTCGTGAACGAGAAGTAGAATGAAACACTATCATGAAAATATGTACTCTTCCAAGGTGGTAGAAATTGTCGAGGCTCTGTGCTTGAATGACCATTTTCTTTATGGTTCTGACCTAACCATCGTGCTCAGAGAGTTCAGATAGCGTTTCGTCGATGGAGGATGAGTGATAATGCCGAAATGCGAATGAACAGTTGTAGAATATTTAGTTTGTTGATTAGTCTGTACGAACACTATCAAAAGAAGTGCTTAATCCACCTGAAGACAATATTTAAAAGATCTTGATCTAGATCACTACAATCTCCCCCTCTCCATACGATCCTTGATAATCTAGCATACGGTTCTGCTAAAAATTTACCAGAAGGATAACCCTTTCTTTTAATAAATTTGCATATGTGCACTCATACACCTGAAGTCAATATTTAAATGATCTTGACCTACATCACTACGATCTACACCACTAAGACCTACACCACCCCTCTCCATACGATCCTTGATAATCTAGCATACGGTTCTGCTAAAAATTTACCAGAAGGATAACCCTTTCTTTTAATAAATTTGAATATGTGCACTCATACACCTGAAGTCAATATTTAAATGATCTTGACCTACACCACTACGATCTCCACCTCTCCATACAGTCCTTGAATAGCTTAACATAGATTTCTTCTAAGGATCTACCATAAGGACAACCTAGCACAACGTCTTACTTGATTTAATGTTTAGACTAGACTAACTGATAAATGAAATTACAGAACATGCCACGCAAGCGACGAGCCTCGACGCCGACATTGGAAGCCGACGAGGAGGAGTTCGCCTCGGAAGAGAAGTATAGCAAGGACGACTTGGACAACCGAGCGCCAAGGAACGCTGCGAACGCGAGGGAACGAGCTCGCATGAGAGTCCTCAGCAAGGCGTTTTGCAGATTGAAGACCACTTTGCCCTGGGTACCAGCTGATACGAAGCTGAGCAAGCTGGACACCCTTCGCCTTGCCGCCACATACATCGCTCATCTTCGCGCTGTCCTCAGGGACGATGGCGACACGCATTCGGACACCACCAGGTCGCTGTCTTTGGCTCTAGTAAGTTCCAATTAAACCATTTATAATGTAATTACTAGACTGCGGATCTTTATGTATTGATAGGAAATTTGAATGTGTAAGAATATAAAAAAGATTGAAAGTAAAGTTCATATTACAGCATTTGCAGAATAAAATAAATTCCTATTTAGGTTCAATTATTGTAGGCACGTTCGCGAAGATTTTATTTTGCATAAAGATCCGCAGTCTAGTAATTACTTTATTTAAGGTAACATCTACTACATATCAACTGAATAACATCAACTACGAAGTTATTAGTGACCACGTCAATGATTACAATTTAATTATAATTTATTTAACATGTTATATTTCATTAATATCTTAACTAATTCGAGAAATTCGTTTCTGTTGTTGAGGATTGTCTGCGTATTATTCGAAAATTTAAACTCTATTCGATCGTGTTGTATTCCCTGACATTCTTCAATTAAATGTTTTACTGTAAGAATCTCGTCGTTTTTGTTTACTTTGATCTGTTTTATTCTGAGGCTAACTTATCTGTGAAAAAAAATCTTATTCGATTGAACGAAATTGGCCTATACAGAGGGTTAAAAAGAAAAGAAGAATTCAGAATTTTCAGGGGAAACTACTCATCGGCTGAATAATTAATATTTTTAAAATTATAAACACTTATCAGGTTCAGTCGAAGCGTACTTTTTCACAATTTATTTCATATGCAAGTGCTTGGTTTATTATATCAACTAATTCATTGTGCTGTACATTTTATTATCCTTTGAATATAGATT